AGTTCTGAAAATGGTTATGGACAAAGTTTATATAGAGAAGATTATGAACTATTTACATGGATAGTTTCATGGGAAAGTGACTTGATGGTTCCGCAAGGATTAACAATGGAATTTAATGGGAAGTTTAGAAGTTAAACAATGGAATCTATTGGGAAGTTTACAAACAAGCTACAGTTACATCAAATTATGTCTCTTTAAAAACTATAAAATTTTCTTCAATCATAAGACACCAGCTAAGCCTATTTAGGTTTAATGAGTGGGTGACAGCAAAATGTTCAATGTCAATAAGTTGATTGTATTCAATTTATGCACATAAATAAAAGAACTTATATTTATTAGATAGAAGTTGATCTTGACCAAGATTATTGTTAACAAAGGTATTATTATCCTTGTTTGTCAAAGATAATGCTGATGCCATTGTTAAATGTCAGGTCCTAGGTCACCATTAAATCTTCAATTTCTTTACACGTTTTTGACTACTGTAAAATAAGGTATCAAAAGAAATGTGTTAAGAGATATTAATCCAGTTGAAAATGATAGGATATATATATTTTGGTCAACAGTAAATAATGCAAAAAATAAAATTCTAATATGAAAGAAAGCCTATTTTCTAACTTGATACAGTCCTAAGTTTTGTTTCACATATTAGAATTAATTTAAAAAAAAAGGAAATAATTTCATTTTCTAGAATTTATCACATTTTGACAACAAGAATTTGTAAACAAATACCATTTATTGTGGATTAGTTAAGTGAAAAAAAAGTATGCCTATCTTTGTTATGATATGGCTTGGTTATCACATGTTGATTTTATGCTAAGAGCCACTTTTCCATCTGATGAGATGTTACAGTGTGTATGGTACTTTGTTGTTTCTCAGACGACAAGAAGCACTAAGAAGGAAAGAAAGAAATGAAGCTCACCTCTACATGAATGTCCAAGTACTCACAGAAGATAACTTTAATGGTCATCAAGGAAATGACCTGTTTGATCCAGAAAGAGCTAATTATAGGTAAAAATATAAAATCTTTTAATATTATAATTACAAAAATATTTGATTTTTTAAACACTATATATTTTGTTTGTTTCATATTCAAATATTACTCCCGATAATAAGCTCAATGTGTATGTCAGTGGTGGGCAACCTAAACTAATCTGTGTTTTTGGCCCACAAAAGCTTCAAGACCCCTTTTACAAGTAATGAGCCAAATATTGTTACTAGCAGAGACCCACAAAACATTTGCAGTCAAGTTAGTATTAGTTAAGCTCTTATTAAGAGATAAATTAACACTGTAATTTGTGTACGTTTTTTGCTTTAGTTTAGTTTGGGCTAAACATTACTGTACTTAATATGAACTAATATACTTTTATAAAAACATTAATAAGCTTTTTAATATGTTGTTGTATAAAATGTCTACTAAAGTATATTTACATCTGCCTTTTGTTTACATCTGTTCAAATGAAGTGTGTGCATATTTTCAGAACAGACAAAATCATAGTACTATTATAATGGAATTGTAATGAAAGTGAGTTACTTATGAAACATGTTAAAGCTGTAATAACTCTCTTTATTTTTAGTACAAAAATAAATAAAGGTGTCAATTTTTGAATAGAGTTGTTTAAACATTTGGTTAACAACAAGTGGCGGGATGCTACAAGTTCTTCAAATACCGATAGAATGATAGGTTTCTTTTTGTGAGTGTAAAACACTTAAATACACCATTTCGACTGTCAATTTTTGTTTTGAACCTAATGCCATACACTAACAAAGCATGATTTCCATGCATATATATATATACACTTGTCATTTGTCTGACATCACATCACAGTATGACTGGAAATAATTTTAAACATATCATTCTTTACAGGTTTTAGTAATAAGCATATGATAGCATCTTGACCACATACTGCCACCGACAAGGCCTTTCGCTCAATACTAGTGTTTATTGGGTCAGCTGGGCATGTAACTCAAAAAGTCTCAATTGAGATGTGTTTATATTCGTAGTGAAAACCTGTTTAGGGCCAGCAAAGAAAGAATCATTATCAGTTCTGTTGTCATTTCACACAACTGATCTATAAATAAAGTTTAGGTTTTAATTAACCTGCTATCTTCATGTCTGGGGAGTGGGGGGCATGTGCAGGACACAAGCTGATTACCACCCACTGATGTATGTGGATAGATGGAGTAATATAGGTTTCTTCTTTCAGGAGTTTCAAAGTCAAGAAGGTAGCAACATTAAGAAGCTTGATGGAGACACTTTCTGAACAAATGGTTAGTTTAGATTTACAAACAATTCTCATACTGTGTTAGAAAAATCATGACAAAATTTGTAATTCAGTTCAGTTTTTAACTAAAGTTTGTCTCTTTGTCAACGATGCATGACTAAAATTGTTTCTTTGTCAGAATTATCCCATCAACATGATTAGACCCTGGCCAATGACGCTTCGGACAAACCAGACCTATAGGCCTTCAGCTGTTGATCTGGAGACTGACAGCAATAAACCTGTATGTGTAAAAAAAAATGTTTTGTTACAGTATGTAGTTACTTCAGTATTATTTTTCCCATTACTAGTTATACTTTATAATGTGTAGTTAATAAAACTGGCATTATTCTAGAGTGGCCGTTATCTTACATTAATGATGTAAATGTAGACTTATTCAGGTTTTCAAGATTTTACTGTACAAGTCAGTTTGAAGACATCAGATAGTAACTTTTTTAAATTCATAATTCCTGAGTAAGAGCAAATAGGAGTGTCGTTTTCATTTGTTAAGTGACATATTTTTTGGATCAGACTTTCTTTGTGATTTATCAACCACTGAAATAATCTAATAGCAGTTGATGGCAGAGTAAACCTGTCAAACGTTTAACAATTTTGATTTGAAAAGGAAGAAACTATAAGAGATTAGAATTCTAGACTTACCATGAGACACGTTTAATTTGACATTTGTATGATGAAGTATTTTTAGGCAGTATTAATTGCAACATCTACTAATTTATACATACGTGTATACCCACACAGACACACACACACACACACACACCTTGTGTATCTTTAAGTAGACGATAATTATGATTGATGCAGTAGTACAGTTCAGTTTATAGATGGGTTTTACATTAATTAACTTATATGCTATTTATATCATTAAGAAACTATCAATGTATTTTGTTTTTATTACCATTATATGTTAAACTGTTAATTACTTAAAGTTTTTATCAATACCTTCCTGATAAATAATATTTCACCAGCTGTGGTAGAATGTAGGACTACTGTAGGTAAATGTCCAGGTTGAGAACTAAACAAATGATAAATAAATGTGTTAGAAATAATCTTGGGTGGTTTAATAACCTGCATTTATGACTTATTTGTAACCACAGCTAACATCTGAAATCTCCAAGGTTTAACATACTTTAAGATGATGTAATTTTCTTATCATGCATCAGCTTATTTAGGTCTCTCCGATAAAATTTTAAACTTTGAAACTGCTGCTGAAATAGGCACTTTAAACTAAAATTGTATAGTTTCTGAAGAGATATAAAATTATGCTAATGAGAAGAGAAAAAGGCAAAAAAAATTAAAAATGGTTTCATACAAGATCTGATACAAAAAGATAAGATTTCATATGCTCCTTTTGTGGTAAAAAAAGAGCAAAGATAGATATAGGCGGTTTAACAGACATGATCTGATGGACATAGAAAAACAAAGATAGATAAAGAAGGCTTAACACACATGATCTGGATGGACATAGAAAACAAAGATAGATAAAGAAGGCTTAACACACATGATCTGGATGGACATAGAAGAACAAAGATAAATAAAGAAGGCTTAACACACATGATGTGGATGGACATAGAAGAACAAAGATAAATAAAGAAGGCTTAACACACATGATATGATGGACATAGAAGAACAAAGATAAATAAAGAAGGCTTAACACACATGATGTGGATGGACATAGAAGAACAAAGATAAATAAAGAAGGCTTAACACACATGATGTGGATGGACATAGAAGAACAAAGGAGGATTGGAAGATTTTGGAAAACTGAAGACAAGTAAGATTTCATCAGCTTGTTGGAGAAAAGCAAAGAAAGAAAGATTAGAAGACTTGACTGATGTGTTTCAGTGTGAAGATAAAAAAAAATGGATACGATGATGCACACTTGGTATTGTGTAGTTTAGAAGAGTGAAGAAAAGTGTTCTTGATGTGTAAATATACTGGGTTTGTACAAACCTTGAAAATGCTTAAATTTTCTCAAAATATCTCCAGGTCCTTAAAGATCAACATAACTTTGACAATTGCATCTATTAGGATTTAAATCCTCTTACTATACATCTTTTGGAAGTGTAGTGATACTGAAGTTTTGTCTAAAACACATTAGGGAAGTCTTTTGATTTGTAAAGAAGTGAGTGTGCTCTCGTGGTAAATGGTTGTGTAAATAAGAATGGTAATGTAAGCAAAGATTTTGTGCTTCCTGTATATTTTAGCATATTTGTACAAAGGTGAACAGCAGAAGAGCCAACAGATGGACTGAATCAGTACTTGATAAGTTTATTATTCTGTAAGGATCATTCTTAAATGATAAAAGTTTGTGTCAGATTTTTGTAAGGAATGGAAGAAGAAGAATGTATTTTGACCGTATCTTTGAACATGTGTATGGCCTACAGCTTTTCCAGTAGGAAAACTGAGTTTTATAAGAATTATGAAAAACATCGTAGCTCATTGTTCACAACTTTTGAGGTGTTTTATTACACACAAATACATGCACATATAATATTTCAACATCTTTTCTTAAGTCACAAGAAAATATGACTGAACAAAGAATACAAGATCAAAAGAATGTTCTAATTATGTGAATTACGAACAACAACAAAAAATTAACCAATAGTATTATTGCTTATCTACAACAGTATCAATGGAGGAGATGAAATAATAATGAAATCATTTAATTTTGTAAATAAATATTCTATTTATAATGTTATTTAGAAGATCATTTTATTGAAAAGTTGCCTTAAAAGAAGTTAAGTTTATAAGAAGACTGTGCAATCTAAAACAGGCGAGTTTTTTTGTATATGCAGACTCCATACTAATAGCTATTTAAGGTCAGAATTACCATTACAAACAATAGTGAATCCTAGTGAGTTATTGGATGTTCAGTTTCATATATACACGAGATTTTAAATCAGTGAATTAGATGGATGTAAGAGGATGTTACCTGACCTAAATGATGCTCCAATATACTTGTGAATGCAGACACAAAATTGACCTTTAGTTTTTCTGATATAGGTGATGTTGGTACTATAGATGATCCTTTGTTTTGAAAAAGTGTTTTAATGTAAAGAAAAGTTTGAAATCTTATTAAATTTGACTTATTGGCAGAACTTTCTTATTAAAGTACTTTGTTGTCTTAGGTAGGAGATGGTCAGTGAAACTGGGCAGTTATTGGCTGTAAAAATATTTGGGAGAATTTTTAGAATATATTTCGTAAACTAGTAACCCAAGTACGGCATCTTATAAAAAAAATATACAAACAAGTATCAGGAAACACATTTATCTCTAAATAAATAAGCTTTGTTAGGACTGGTTACTGAACTTGAAAAAAGGAACCAAACAAGATAGAGATAGAAGTGGATGTATCACTTTATCTGGCTAATAATCACATAGAGGACTAAGCTGTCTCAACTTTATGTAGAAAATAAAATGTGTACGTTACTGGCTTCCTCTTTGGCAAAACAAATAGTATCATAATTTCCAGTCGTAAAATGTCATAAAAGTAGTATTGTAAAGGTAACTAAAGGTATAATGATGAAAGCTGTGATTCTATTCAAACACCAAGCTTTCTGTAGATAAACTGGGGAAGCCACCAATGTAGAGATTTATTCTCCATGTAAAGTCAAGATGGCTAAGTCTGCTATGTGATCATTAGCCGGATAAAGTGATATGTCCACTTCTATCTCTATCTTGTTTGGTTCCTTTTATCAAGTTCAGTAGCCAGACCTACATAGCTTTTTTATTTAGAGTTCAATTTTTTTTTCGTAATACTTGTTTACAATTTATAAATGCCCAGTTTCATGCCCTACTTTGTACATTAAATGATTATACTTTACAATCCAAAGTTTTTAATGAGAAAGTTCTACACACAGATGATTTTAAGATCATCCTTTAGATTAAAACCAAAGTGTAGTAGACAGATTAGGAGGAACATAATTATATGTCAACTAGAATATAAAAAAATTATATTGAACTTTGAAGTGCATCAAAAGTTAGTAGACATGTTGTGTTGAAAAAAAAAGAGTTACAGGGGATCTGTCTGAAGTATTAATATTCTTAAACTAGCTTGTAAGAATCTAACTGAAAAGTAATTTTTATTTCTTTCTAAGATTATTGACTTAGCAGATAATGCGAATCCATGGACAGTATTTTTGGAAACTGTTGAACCGGATTCAGGAGCCGGTTGTCTCCCAGAATTTGATAAAGATAGTAAGTATAAGGTAGATTGAAATGTTAGCTTATTGAATATTGTTTTGTTATTAAGGGTAGAAAGTGCTTCTTGAATGAAAGTGTGTGTAAAATGCTTAATGTTAACTATAGTATGACACTTTATTATTTATTATTTGTGACAGTGTTGCTCACTAAGTTATTGTACTAGCTTGACCATATCGAACTGATGACCTTTGTGTAGTGTCCAAAATATTACACAAGTATTAATTACAGTAGTGCTAAAACACGGAATCATGGATCAACCTGTTTTGTGTTCATGTAATAAAAATATTTAAAATGCTCTTATTCAACCTTTAGTCCTGTATTTTGTATTGTTACTTGATTAAAAAATAGTTTTTTCATGTTACAAATATTAGTAAAGAAAACATATAGACTAACTGTACACTGTGTTGGTTGTAAGTCCAGTAGCTTAACTGTATGATGAATTTTTGGAATAAATATGTAGATAAAATAATGATCTAAAATGATATTACATTAAAATAACCACTGTAACTAAAGTATAGATTTTTGTGTTGTACTAGATGTTAATACTAATGATCTTGCTATATATATATATTGACTGACTTTGTGTTATGCTTTTAAAGTAATTAAAAAGTCTAGCATTATGCTAATGTTATAAATGTACTTACGTGTGAAAATCAATATGTAGCTAGTGTTATAAACGTAATTACATGTGAAAATCAATCTGTAGCTAATGTTATAAATGTACTTACGTGTGAAAATCAATCTGTAGCTAGTGTTATAAATGTAATTACGTGTGAAAATCAACCTGTAGCTAATGTTATAAATGTACTTACGTGTGAAAATCAATCTGTAGCTAGTGTTATAAATGTAATTACGTGTGAAAATCAGTCTGTAGCTAATGTTATAAATGTAATTACGTGTGAAAATCAGTCTGTAGCTAATGTTATAAATGTAATTACATGTGAAAATCAACCTGCAGCTAATGTTATAAATGTAATTACCTCTGAAAATCAATCTGTAGCTGTTGGCTAACCTACAGGGTTGAAAAAGAGAGTTTAATTGGATAACGTATTTATTTGGGTGTTGTCAAGGGAATTATGCAGAACTGTTTTGTTATCTCTATTTGGGAATTTTAGAGACTAAGTGAATGTTAGTGTTAAAGACTTGTATTTTTATATATAAGGTTTGATATTGGTTTTTATTGGCTTTGTTTAAAAAGTATTCAATTTCAGATCCAGAAACTAAGACATTCACGGATTTGAAATTTATGTTTTGTTTAAAACCTATGGAGGATCTTAAATTTAAGGCAACTCTATTAAACTGTTAAATTTATTTTGATTGCTTTAATTTTTGTCCAAAAACAAAAACGAAATAAAAACATTTTCATTGCTTCTCTTTTATTTATACTTAGTCCAGTTTGACTTTGTAGATGTGCATTGGCTGACATGATCTTTATGTGCTACTGACATTTTACCACAAAGTACAGAAATTTATTGCTCACTGAGAAAATATAATAGAATGTATATCTATTTGTACAATAAATATGTAAAATGAAATATTTAAATATAATTTGAAGTTCATGCCGTATTCATTATTTATATGAAAGTCATCAACTGAATGAACATTATTTTTTAGTTATTGCTACAGCATTTCCAAGAGGTTTGGATTGCTCTGTGTACTGGCACACATCGGGCATCCTTTGTCACACAGCTCGTCCATATATAGCAAACCATATAGCTTATGTTTATCAGCGACTGTTCTTGGCAGAATTATGATATCCAGTGCAGGGATTTTATTTTTCTTTGGTATAAAATGTTACAGTATCAAATACAGGGGGTTTATTCTGTATTAGTGTAAAGTATTACAGTATCAAATACAGGTTTTTTTTCTGTATCGGTATATTACAGTATCAAATACAAGGGGTTTATTCTGTATTGGTATAAAATACTACAGTATCAAATACAGAGGGTTTATTATGTATTGGTATAAAATATTGCAGTATCAAATACAGAGGGTTTTTTTCTGTATTGACATAAAATATTACCATATCAAATACAGAGGGTTTATTCTGTATTGACATAAAATATTACAGTATCAAATACAGGGGTCTATTCTGTATTGACATAAAATATTACCATATTAAATACAGAGGGTTTATTCTGTATTGACATAAAATATTACGGTATCAAATACAGAGGGTTTATTCTGTACTGACATAAAATATTACAGTATCAAATACAGGGATCTATTCTGTACTGACATAAAATATTACAGTATCAAATACAGGGATCTATTCTGTATTGACATAAAATATTACAGTATCAAATACAGAGGGTTTATTTTGTATTGGTATAAAATATTACAGTATCAAATACAGGGGTTTATTTTGTATTGACATAAAATATTACAGTATCAAATACAGGGGTTTATTCTGTATTGACATAAAATATTACAGTATCAAATGTAGGGTGTTTATTCTTTATTGATGTAAAATATGAAATTATCCAACAGAAGTTTTTTGCTTTAAACCTCTTGTTACAGTTGGTAGGTCAAAGTGTGCATGTCATGACTTTTTACAGAGTTACATTCAATGTTTAATTAAACTACTTTATTATCAATGTATATGAATAAATTTGGCATCACAGTGTAGTTAATAAATCAAATCTTAATATTATCCAAGTTTTAGTTTTAAATTTTTAAAAGGAAATATTTAAATAACACTTCAATTTCCCCTTGTATGAGAATCGTGAAATTTGTTCATTACATTTTACCTATCGTCTAATTTATTTACCATCCCTCTCTGACATACTGAGTTTAACGTAAATTACTCACTATAGGTATTACTAAGTCAAAGCCTAATTTTTATAGCCATCAGTCTTTGTTTATGAAGGCACAAACTAGAAAGTTTAACCCAATTGCCACACCCACCTGTCACATCCTCCCTTTCACAAATTGCCAATAATTTTCTGTTAGAATGTTTATGACCAATGTTTTAATTAACCTAATAACATATAGTTATCTGTTGTTCCCAGTACAGTTTTAGCTGAGGGAATTATTTTAAAACACTTATGTTTTAATTAGAAAACCAGTTAAATTATAATATTTATAGGACATTGTTTGCTTTGTATGTGTTATTATTCAATGTTCTTGTGTGCATTTTTTAAAATAAGTAAAAATTACTTAATTTACTAGTACTATCATTACAAAAAAATAGGCTTTAATTTCATTGGCTGGCTGACAGCAAAAAAAATCAGGCCAAATGTAAGTATAACATGTTATTTATTGTTATAAAAGTAACTAAAATGTGGAAATTAGAAATATAATAGGTTAGATTAGATAACATTATGTATGTAGGTTGTATGTTAAGGTAACTTGGGCTACATGTTTGCCAAGTGATTTATAGTTTATAATGGGAGTATTAATTATACATTGTTCAATGGGCAATAAAACAGTAAAATTAAGCATAAACAGATGTAGGTTGTTACGAGCTTTAAATTATTTCAGATAAACAGTTGTAGTTTTCTGTTACAGTCTGCAGTCATTTTAGAAAAAAAAACAGGTAATTTAGATTTAGTTTTTTTAGGTGGTTACAGAGTAGGTCAAATTGACCGAGTTCATGTAGAGTTACGGTAGAAAAATTATCAGGTAAAGTATAAAGTTTTACTGAAAAAAAAAGTTTGTTTATTTAAGAGGTTTTAGAGATTATGTAAATGAAATTTGAAACTGTAAGATGAATGAAAGTATTTTTAATTTTAACATGAAAATCACCTTGCACTCGGACTAGTCGACAAAGACTCCATATGTTCATAGACAACTCTTTAGTAGAAATATTTAATCAAAAAACCAGATTTTTTATAAGCAAAAGACTTCTAATATTTACTAAAAGTTTATAAAATTTCATGAAGATACTTTCAGAGTTATAGTATGTATACTTTCATGATTTCATTGTGGTTAGAAAGTTGTGCCCATAGGGTTAATATAGAATATTACAATATCCAGTGCAGGGAGTTTATTGTCTAGTAATATAAATATGTACACACATACATACTTGCATATTAAAACATCCATAGTAAGTTGTTGGTTGTAAAAAATGTTTATCTCAACCATTTGTGTTATCTATTATCAACCTGTGCAGTGTACATCACCAACTAAAAATAGCATACTTGTTTTTCAGGTGATGTTTTATTATTTTTGAAGCTTTATGACCCCAGGCACAAAAGAATATCTTACTGTGGACATCTGTATATGCCGATCACTGCCAAAGCAAGTAAGTGTTGTTGCAGTTATCTGTATACCAAGTTGCTTGCCAGATCTAATACTTCACATCAGCTTGTAATAGATTCAGTTTGTATCTGGAAAATAACCAATGTTAGAAATTGTTTCAATCTGTTGGGATCCAGTTTCTACTTCATTACTGTATACTTAGCTGGATTGACTTCTTCTTAGAGGCATAGGTTAAAACATTAATTTTCTGCCATTTCTGGTTACTATATTAAGCTTGAAAACTTCATTTTAGATTTTTCATTCATAAAAATAACTAAAAAAAATTGTTTTTTTTGAATGCAAAAAATCGTTCATGGTTTTTTTTTGTTCTCCTGTCATTACCTGTGTATAACTATTAATTTCCCAACCAAATAAGCTGGACTATTATAATGAATCATTACATCATATTCCTGAAGTTTCTGTCTTTGTGTAATTCACTTATCTTACTAATGGGATTTAACTTATTTTGTAGAAATCTTTACAGTGTGGTTCGTAAAAATGTCAGAATTTTTATTGTTCCTGGTGGTTTTTATCATTTTTGCCAAACATTGATTTCTTGAAACACTTTATTGAAGAGGACAATATAATTATAATTAGTGCTTTCAAATGGTGTATTGATTTATGTGATGCATTGTCAATTTTTTTTATTAAAAATTTTTGGCCCGTTCTCAAGATAAGTCTGGTAACAAAGCTGTAAACATTCAGAAAAAAGTTATTTCTCAACTTCAGAAAGAGAACAATGTATTAAGTAAATAATTGAATCACAAAAAACTGTTTCCTTTCATGTAGGTCCATTATAATAGTGGTGAACTGCAAAACGTTAAACTATTTGTATAATAATTTTGTTAATCAGCAATTTCTATTGAATAACACGAAATTTCTCAAGTGTGTTTGAAACACATTTTAATTACCTCTTAAAGGCTCTACGTGAAAGGGTCAGCCAGTTTTTGTAATAAGTAAAACATTTCTTGTTTTTTATATTACTAATATAGTAAAAGTTTATGAAATATTAGTAAAGAAGAATACAACTGGTGTAGTTTCTTTCACATTGTATTGTGTATCCTAGTAAAAATAAAAATAGATGTAATCAATATTTGCTCAGGTGCAGCTGAAAAGTTTGAAATAATTTCTAGCTAAAAAATCAAAATTGTGATTTCTAATGGCTTTGCTCAGTTCTTCTTGACTACTAACATTATTTTAAAATATTTTAAAACAGCAATGGTGGTGTAAAACTACCTACAGTAGTATTACAGTTTTTTACCCTGAGTCACATTGTTATTTCTTTATAAATACTTATGAAATTATTTTATGAAATCAGTCATATGTTTAAAGTAGTTGATAAGTGTTCCTAAAAGTAAAAGACTTTTTTAACAAAAATTCACATTTTAAATATTTCTAATTATCATTTGTAAGTACCTGATTTTGAACATTTCTTATGCTTTTATAGTTTAATTTATAAGTACCTGATTCCATACATTTCTTACTTATTATGATTTTTGTAAGTACCTGATTCCATACATTTCTTGCTTATTATGATTTCTAGTTATTGTTTGTAAGTACCTGATTCCATACATTTCTTGCTTATTATGATTTCTAGTTGTTGTTTGTAAGTACCTGTTTCGATACATTTCCTAGGTATAATTTGTAGTTGTTTGTAAGTACCTGATTCCATACATTTCTTATGTATGGTTTCTAGTTGTTGTTTGTAAGTACCTGTTTCGATACATTTCCTAGGTATAATTTGTAGTTGTTTGTAAATACCTGATTCCATACATTACTTATGTATGATTTCTAGTTGTTGTTTGTAAGTACCTGTTTCGATACATTTCCTAGGTATAATTTGTAGTTGTTTGTAAATACCTGATTCCATACATTTCTTATGTATGATTTCTAGTTGTTGTTTGTAAGTACCTGTTTCGATACATTTCCTAGGTATAATTTGTAGTTGTTTGTAAGTACCTGATTCCATACATTTCTTATGTATGATTTCTAACTGTCACTTCATATATATTGTTAGTGAATAGAAGAATAAACTTATACATTATTTATATAAAGATAAAACCTTCAATTAATACTCAATAATATGACATAAATGTAGAGTAAAATGTAAATTATAAATTAAGAAAATAGACAGACTGTTGTGTGAGGACAACTTTCACTTAGTAATTAAGGTTTCTCCAGGATAATAAAATATATATATAGAAGAAGAAACAATATAAGACAAAAATTTTTTCTATGAACCAGCCATTACTCATGATTTTATATTTTGTCTATTTTCACGTTCCTGTACTTCTCTTTTCTTGTATATTTTTTCTGTGAAGCGTGTTTTAAGTCTCTGTGGTGACTTGCGTGCTTAGAATTTAGTAAACTTACAGAATGTTTATTTCCTACAGCACTCTGTTTTAACTGGAGTATAAAAATACTCGTACAAATTTTTTTGTTTAATTTAAGAATTTTATAAATCTGAAGAGTTTCTGAGATAAGAAGTTTAAACTTCGTGGCTCATGCTATTTTGTGTGTTTGTACAATCTAGGGGAACTTGTTCCAGAGCTAAATCACAGGGCAGGTTTTCCAATGGATACCAGTCTCATGCTATATGAGGTATGGTGCCGTTAGTATTACTGGAATAAAGATGACTTCTTTTTCTTTTATTTGGATCAACTAAAAACAACAACAATAAGACTAAAACCCTTCACTAATGTTATTAAAAAGCTTTCTTTCAAAGCTGAAACTAGTAAAATAACATATTTGTTATTAATGTTATTGAATGAACTTATTACTCACTGAAGTACTAGGACTAATGATATTTTTCAGTTGTACAGAATGTATATTTTATTTAATAATATTTTCCTTCCTATACTCTGTACTTAAGAGAGAGTTACTAAATACAGAACCATTCCAATAATGTGTTTGTAATTTTTTTATTTATATTTGTGGGAGTTGAGTCAGGTTCTGAGCTATATATTAGTACTTAATTTACAAGTTAAGGGTACAGTGAAAGTACTGACCTTTCAAAAGTTTTTTAAAGCAATTAAAAGAATATTTAGCTTTCTCTGGGAGGAAAATTATGAATGAGAAATTACTTTTTTCAAAGGTTACATAATATAGAGCAAGGAATATGAAGAAAAATATATATATTACACAAGTTATTGTTGAAATTACAATATATTCACTAGAGTAAAGTAGTTCTTCTTCATTTGTAGACAACCTAAGTTTTTAACATGAAACCCATCAGTATGTACTCACCAGAATGAAGTAGGTTCTCTTTCATCTGTAAACCACCTAAATTTGTAACATAAAACCCATCAGTATGTACTCACCAGAATGAAGTAGGTTCTCTTTCATCTGTAAACCACCTAAATTTGTAACATAAAACCCATCAGTATGTACTCACCAGAATGAAGTAGGTCCCCTTTCATCTGTGTGGTATAATGAATCGAGTAGGTTCCTCTGATCTGTAAGTTAAGTTTTCCTAACATTAAATTAGCTGGTAGTGAAAATTGTGTGTATTTAATTACATGCAGCAGAATCTAATAAATTGTGATGATGTTTGAATCCTATCTTTGTGAATTATTTAGTCAAATAACTGTCCATAGCTTAGGGAAAGAAAGGTTTGTTTTTACTTCATTTTTCTTTATTGATTCAAAAATGGTATGTATCTTGCAAATTATAGTGCAACCTGTGTTATGTATGCCTGATGAGTTATTGTTATGTAGGAAGTTAAGCCTAACATTGTGGAGAAGATCGAAGACCTTGATCTTCCCCTGGAGAATGTTTTAGAAGAGTTGATGGATGGAGACATCATTGTTTTTCAGCAAGCAGACATCAACCCTGATGAGTTTGAACTTCCTACAGTCAAGGACTACTTCAGGTGGAAAGTTTTCCATTTTAACACTTAACAACAAATGAAATTTAATTCAGAATGTACAGAGATTACTGTATCTGAGTTTCACAGCAGTTTGCTTAAAATTTTCTTTGCTGCTGGTACAAAAAATAGTTTTTGTTGTCTAAAGATTTGTTATCTACTGAACATGTTTTTACTTTCTACACCAGCTTGTCATTACTGTCTAGGAATCTGTTCAACGGAAAATTGTTGTTACTTTCTAGAGATTTGTTCTACACCAGCGTTGTCATTACTGTCTAGGAATCTGTTCAACAGAAAATTGTTTTTACTTTCTATAGATTTGTTCTACACCAGCTTGTCATTATTATCTAGGGATCTGTTAAACAGAAAATTGTCTGTAGTTTCTAGATCTGTTCTTCAGAAGATTGTCTTTACTTCTTAGAGAACTGTTCAACAGAAAATTTTCTTTGCTTTCTAGGGATTTGTTCTACAGAGTAGAAGTAACTTTCTGTGATAAAACCATACCCAGTGATCCAGGTTTTGTGATGGAACTTTCCCTCAAGATGAACTATGACCAAGTAAAGTAACAATATATTTTAGTGCTTGATGTGATAAAGAGAACATTTTTGAACTATGTTATACAGTTTTATGACACTGATATAACTTCGTTAAAAAACTTGGTGCCTTTGAATAGATATTTTTATGTTTTATCTCTACTGATCATGGATTTTAATGGATACAAGTTTTACTGCCCAAAGAAAAAAACTTCAGTCTCTAATTTTCACCCATATTTGCCCTAAAATGCATTTTTACAACTGGTGTGTGTGTGTGCTGAAGCTGCTAAGTTATATGGTTTTAGTTAAGATGCAATAGTACTGTATCATCTTGGATGTATGTATTCTGAATGCTAGTTGATTAACGTATGATTTTAACTTTGTGGTTCAGTTCTCTTTGTTTTGACCAAGGGTTAGAAGTATCATTTGATTAAATTGTTGTAGTTAACAATGTAATCTGTGTAGATGTTGATAATGTAATTTTACTTTAAATAATATTTGAAGATTGGAATTCGATACATAACGTACATTTTAGTAGTAGTATGTACATGAAGTGTTTTACACCTTAAAACACTTTGTTTCTGAACTTATTATTGTTAAGCTGTAATGTCATTGTAAAAGAGAGTAACAATGCTTCATTTGATCTTACATTTGATTTGGTTTTCAACTGATCATATTGTAAATTATCTACTCTGTCTGTGCCCAAGTTCAAACTAAGATTGATTGGTGAACTAGAATTAGAAACTACTTTATGATTTTAAAATCTTGTAGATCAGTGTTTCTCAACCATCAGTTTGTCACAATCACCTTGCTGGTTCATGGGATTTCACAAACAAAAACTGACAGAATGTTCATATGTACATTGTAATGGATTTTCATAGTACTTACATTGTATTGGTCCACAACAGTTGCTCCCTGGTGTTGAGAAATACTGGTATAGTTAATGTTATTTTCTAGTTTTCTTTATGTGATCCTAACACTGCCACTTTGTGTTGTAGATGGCTAATGCTGTTGCACAAATACTAGATACAGATCCATATTTATTACAGTTCTTCAAGGCTCAGAGGTAAGCTGATGTTTACTGTTGAAGTATTTGTATTATTGGGTATTATTTGCTGCTGTAGCATTAAGATAGGACATACTTCCTGCTGCAGTATGTAAATACTTAATATTGTAGTGTTGTGTGATTGGAAATATTTACTATTTTAGTATGTGTGTTCCATATGAAAGTGGTCATCTTGATTCACCATAGAAATGTAAAACAATACATGCTGTAACTCTAAGTGTAACATCATGAAATTTGACAAGGTTTGGTTAAATATTATACTAAAGTCTGCTGTATACAAAAAAAAGCACATTTTTTCTATTAAAGTATTTCTACTACAGGTTTGTTTGTGAATTTATGAAACGTTTACCATCAGACTGAGTGAAAAGTGATTTTTATTATAAGAATAAGAATGATTCATGTTATGGTTTTTATATTTTGCTTGCATTAAAATCTGAAACCTCTGCTTGGTATAAAATACAGAATTCGTATATACAGGGTTCGTACGCGTCCTGGAATGTCATGGAAATCCTGGAAAAACGCGATTTTTTTTTCCAGTACTGGAAAGTCCTGGAAAAACGAAAATGTCCTGGAAAAATAAAATTTGTCCCGGAAAAAAATGTTTTTTTTTTAATTTTTGGTTTTCTTGTTTT